TTTGGATACGACGCCCCGTTATGGAGTTATGATTTTTTAAATAACATGATGTCAGAAAATCAGCCCAAAAGCTTATCTTATTTCTGTTGGTTACGCACCGCTGATTCGCAATGTTTGTCATCATTTCATGATGTCTACTGATTCGTGAAAAAGGCCTATATAGGGTACTTACTACCCTAAATGCTTAAATTCAGGTACAAGTGAGAATAATATGCCATACAGGGTTTAATTTTCTAAGTGGCAATCCCTTCACAAGACAAAAGTACATAATGTACTGTACTGTGTTAGAACATTTTTTTGACTAACATAATAATATAATTAATTTTCAGTATTTTGTTTAGCAACCAGGCAAGATGCAGATATTTGTGAAAACATTAACAGGAAAGACCATTACACTGGAGGTAGAGCCTTCAGATACTATTGAAAATGTGAAAGCCAAGATTCAAGACAAGGAGGGAATCCCTCCAGATCAGCAACGTTTGATCTTTGCAGGCAAACAACTTGAAGATGGACGTACTCTGTCAGATTATAACATCCAGAAAGGTAGGAATCTCTTGTACTGTATTTTTATTTACCTCTAATGACCATGAAAATAATTTTTCTACTCCTTGGTGCCTTGTTTTACATACAGTGTTACAAATTGATGGCTGTGAATTAATAAATGATTTACTTTTGCTAGAATCTACCCTCCATCTTGTATTGCGTCTTCGTGGTGGAATAATTGAGCCAAGTCTGCGTATTTTGGCCTCCAAGTACAACTGTGACAAAATGATCTGCAGAAAGTAAGTAGACTCCAGATCAACCAGACTGGTCCAAAAAATATTTTTGATAACTGTAGAACCATATCCTTGACGTCTATATAATAGGAAAGTGCTTAGAACAAATTGTCTCAGAAGATTCCTCCAACCCAGTAGGGTTGCTTGCCAAAACATTCCCATGTCAGTCAACTTTCAACACTGTTTCACAGTCATAGGTGTAGATCCCGGGGGGGGGTATATCCAAATATTTGACAAGGGGGGATGGTCCATTGTATCATCCCCCAATATTTTGTGTACAACATCAGTAATGTTATATCGGTTGATGAGGAATTTATTGATTAAGCCTATAATAGCAAATTGCATCAATTTATTTTGCAAAAACAAGGTTTCCAGCTTCAGAGGGGAGCACATCCCGTCTGCACAAGGGCACACATTGGCGCTAACACCAGGCGTGTAACAGGGGTCTTAGCTCAGAGTGGGTATTTATTTTCTCGGTTAGTAATTTACCATACCCACCCCACCCCACTCCCCATATAGAAAACAATACGACATAGGGCTTATCTTATTTATAATATAGGCCACACTCGTGTGTTTGAAACTAAATTACTGTATAAGCATTTTCATCATGGTTTTATTTATTACAAACATATTCTTTCACCATCAATACACATTGAGGCCCTTCTTTTCGGTTAAAACAACCTATTTTAAATTTGTCTTTCTTGAGTTTGGGACTAATGTGTTTAAATAACTTAAAAGGATAAACCTAAAAAACCCTACAAAATGCGTGCGAAGCGCGCAAAATATTTTTGTTTTTTTAATTCTAATTTCGTCTGAATTGATGAAAACTCCCTAAAATGTGCAATTTATAGAGGAAATTGGCCTACCGTAACAAGAAATGCGCGCAAAGAATTTGAGAATTTTAGGCACTTTCAGAGGATGTATTTGTCAAGGGGTGGGGAAAGATTTTCCAAAGATGGATATTTTCCCCTTGTCCCCCAGTGTTTTTAATTCTAATTTCATTGGAATTGATCAAAACTCCCTAAAATGTGCAATTTTTAGAGAAAATTGTCCCATGTTAACAAGAAATGCATGAATTTGAGGTTTTTAGGCTTCAGGGGATGAAAAGGGCATTTATAAAGGGGTGGGAAAGATTTTTCAAAGATAGATATTTTCCCCTTGTCCCCTGTGGTTATGCCATCGGGCAGCATAGATCAAATGAGTTATGACAGTTTTTGAAGTGGAGAAGGGGTTGGAGGGTGTTGTGAGTCTGGTCATTATGATATCTTCCTTTTTATTCTTGTCTTTATTTTTCTCTTTTCTTTTTAAAAAAAATTTGCATTGCAGTCTTCCTGAACAAATCTAAAGCAGATTGTGTCATGCTAAATTGCTTGTCTCATTTTTGGAACATCTGTCTAGCTGAACTACTATTAGTATTACAGGGATCGGTGTTGGGGCTCCTCCTGTTTAATGTACTGTATACATAAGTCGAGTAATCCGTGACAGAACTGATAGTACCAAGTTACAAAATGATTTGGATGTTGTATTTGAACTGGGGGGGGGGGGGGGGGGGGGTAGAAAATATGATGGCAATAAATTTTAAAAGTGTAAAGTTATGCATGTAATGTTTTAAAAGTGTAAAGTTATGCATGTAATGTGGAGCAGAAAACCAACTTATGATGAGTACACTATCAAAATTAAATAAAGTATTAATTAAATATTTTGAAATAACCGTTACAAAAAAAAAAACTGTTTCAAACCCCAAATCCTGATTAAGGGCTTCCCTCGGACCAACATTTGTGACATTTTAGTTTGTTTTTGCAGAATAAATTGAATTAAACAAAATTGCAAAATATTATGCACTTGCACTTGGCGTGAAAACTTATTTTTTTGTGGTGGATTTAAATTTAAAATACAGTACTATATTAGTAAATACATAATTTGTTCTTGCTTTAGGTGTTACGCCAGGCTTCATCCACGTGCCACCAACTGCCGCAAGAAGAAGTGTGGACACACCAACAACCTTCGTCCAAAGAAGAAGCTGAAGTAGAAAATAATTTATCACTTGCTAAGCATAGTAAAATGAAACAACGTTCAAATGTACTCAACTACATAAGACTTGGTAATCAATAAAACCATACAGGAGCAGATCAAATGTATTTAAGTTGCTTTCTTTTAATTCATTCTCAAGTTATAACATAATTTACAAGCTTTTCATAATTCATCATTACTAGAAAACAATACTACCCAAATAACGTAACATTTCATGTTTTTTAATTTGACCTGATTTTGCTGTGGAGTATAATTGAATTCCCATACTGTAGTACTGTACCCAAGACATGGCTTTCGACATGGAAGACTGCCCTCATTCTACACTAGTATCTTATGGAAGAACCAAATGTTGAAAACTACACCTGAATTGGTCATCTATGGAAATGCAGTACAATATTTGAAAGACTCAATGCTATACTAGAGAATTCCATTGAAGCAAAAGCAGTTACAGTGGGGTGCAATACATTGTTATTGGGCAAGAAATTTAAATTGAGAAATGTATGGTACTACATCATGATTTGCATTTCTGAATTTATACAGTACTTTTTTTTGCAAAATTATAAATTCTCATTCAGCAAACAATGATAATGTTGTTATTAAGAGACACTTTCCTATAGAAAGGATAAAGGAAGGCATTCAGGATAAATTGATGAAGCTGAACCTTGTATCATCAAATACATGCTAAACACGAATCCATATTGCCAGAGCAATAATATACATGCAGCCATTTATGAACAATATTATTTACAAAATTATACAAAACTATATTAATAGCAGTAATCTAACATTGAGTTGATATGTGATGTCCTTCCGTCTCCATCAAAACAAGAAGCGACCTGCTGCTGCTAAAATGAACAGGAACAACAAGGTTTACTTGCCACAAACCAACATTCTATCATTGTAAAGAGAATTATAAGCAATGATATGAATACTTCAAAATTTATTAGATTTATCAATGTAACCATTCTAAAACTTCAAAAATGAATCTACCTTTAACATTATCTTACAAAATTACCTTTTTTCATTTTTTTTTTCTTTTAAAAAGCTTAGAGTAGAATACTTGCATTGTATGTTTCATGACTTTAAAATGCTTAGAAGTAAAATCATTTAACATTTTATTTCTTTTTTTTCAATTTTTATGTCTAGTAATGCAGATTTGTTTTTTTTTAAAACCTTAACTAACCAAATGACAATGTACTTGTATTATTTTCTTTACTACATAATAAAAAAAGATTCCACTTTTGTTTTTAAGGTTTATACATTTAACTGTCCAAAATGATTGACTTTTAAGAACATAAAACTTGTATCTTGCCAAGTCGTCTGCAATAATTTGCACTGGACTACAAATGTTTAAATATTGCCATCAAGCATCCTTCACTCGCTTCTCACCCCATATACAAGTAAATCAGTTCACACCACTCGGCACAACAAATAGTATATTAAACAATCTTCAACTGTACTGGGATAAATAAAATACAGTAATACCGAACTGTATTTGTTATAAATAAAACATACGTAATGCATTTCCCATATTTTACGCATGGGTCAAATATAAATCTCTATACAGTATATCTGTGTTATAGGCAGTGTGATGATTTTGCTTTTCTTTCCCTTTACTCTACAGCCCTGGTTCTCAAACCCTGGACTGCAGTCTAAAACAAGTTTCAAAATTTGACCTATGAGGTATCGAAAATTATTAAAATGTGTGAATTGTTTATTTCTTGCGAATTGATCAAAACTCAACTAAAATGGAAAACTGTTTCATTTTCTGATGTCCCTCCAAATAGTAATGAAGCATTCTTTATTTAAGCTGACAACATACCCATTAACGTTCCATTAATTTTTATTATACAGAAAATTTAACATAAAAGCTTGAAATTTATAGCAGAAAAAATCTATCCCATAAAGATTTTATGTTTTCTGTACTTCTATTTTTGAGGGGTGGGGTAGTGAGTTCATTGTAGACAGTACAAGACTGACATTTCAAGTCAGCAGCATCTCCATGTAACTGCGACATTGTAAAAATGGACCCCAGTAAGAAAAAGGGTTTAAGAACCAGGGCTTTACAGCACCTAATTATACTGGTCAATTATGTCCAATATATTAAACATCACATTGTAGAATGGTTACTGTGGAGGGTTACATTTTAGCACAGCTTTAATGCAAATTGATATCTGAAAAATTACAACCATTCTGGTGGTGGAGGAGGTTGCCCATGTGTGCGCCCTCTAGCCACTGCTCCTTGCCTCATTCTTGAATAATATGTAGCCAGTCTGGGTTTTATTTCCTCTGCATTTTTCTGCCGACTATCTTGAATCTTGGGTGGTGGAGGTCGGTAACTAAAAAGTGATGATCCAAGGCAACCTCTAGAAGGTGCCAAATCTCCTCCAGGCAAAGTCATCAGCACTGTGCACACTGTGGCAAGGTCATCAAAGGTCGGCTCTAAGGTGATAAATGATGGTGGTTGCTGAAATACAATTCAAATTTTGGATTAAATATTAATTTGCATGATACAGTACCTGTCTCTTATACACATCTCGTTCAAATGTACTCAACTACATAAGACTTGGTAATCAATAAAACCATACAGGAGCAGATCAAATGTATTTAAGTTGCTTTCTTTTAATTCATTCTCAAGTTATAACATAATTTACAAGCTTTTCATAATTCATCATTACTGGAAAACAATACTACCCAAATAACGTAACATTTCATGTTTTTTAATTTGACCTGATTTTGCTGTGGAGTATAATTGCTGTCTCTTATACACATCTAGATGTGTATAAGAGACAGAAGTACAACTGTGACAAAATGATCTGCAGAAAGTAAGTAGACTCCAGATCAACCAGACTGGTCCAAAAAATATTTTTGATAACTGTAGAACCATATCCTTGACGTCTATATAATAGGAAAGTGCTTAGAACAAATTGTCTCAGAAGATTCCTCCAACCCAGTAGGGTTGCTTGCCAAAACATTCCCATGTCAGTCAACTTTCAACACTGTTTCACAGTCATAGGTGTAGATCCCGGGGGGGGGTATATCCAAATATTTGACAAGGGGGGATGGTCCATTGTATCATCCCCCAATATTTTGTGTACAACATCAGTAATGTTATATCGGTTGATGAGGAATTTATTGATTAAGCCTATAATAGCAAATTGCATCAATTTATTTTGCAAAAACAAGGTTTCCAGCTTCAGAGGGGAGCACATCC